GCTCAGGGAACAAGAGAGAGAAGTCAAAGATAAACTCAGGGATTCTGAGCCAGGGTGACTGGAAGTTGGCTGTCGCCATCACCAGAGAGTGGGGAGTCGGGAGGAGCAGCTCCTAAGGACAAAGGTAGTGTCCATTTAGTAAAAACTCAGTTTGAGGAGCTGATGGAGCATCCTGTTGGAGATGTTGTGCAAGTGGCTGGAAATGAAACCCTGGGCTGAGAGAGCTAGAGTCGTAGGCTCCGAACCAGCCACCCTGGAGTGACAGCACAAGCCACTGAGAGGGGCTGCTGAGGGATAACAGAGAAGGGAAAACGGGGAGCGGGAGAGAATCTTGGAGAGGAAATGGAAGAGGGACCACCCAGAGAATTTGTGGGACCTGGTGAGTTCAGAGTGATAGAAGCCAAGAGGGGAAAGGAGCTAATGGTCAATCTTATCTGATGAGGGTGGAGAGAGACAGGGGGAAATAAACAGAAGCTATCAGGAATAAGTTGTTATATTTGGGGGAATAAGAAGTCCACGGTGGATGAGAGATGAGGAAATAGGGACAGATGATTACTCTAAAATTTCAAGAGTTTGTTGAAAGCAAGAAGTGAAGAAAGAATGACAGAGGGAGGAATCAGACAAGTGATATTCTTTTTAGGAGGAGGCTTGTTGAGCGTGTTTACATTTGGAGGGAGAGGATTCAATGTTGAAGGAGAAAGAGTCCCGGGCAAGGTGATGAAAGCAGGGCGGGGGTGGCTCCTGGGCAGGGTGCAGGAGGAGAAGGGAGATCTTTTTGACCCTGAGACTAGTAACCGGGAAGGATGAGGAACAAAGAGAGGAGATCAGGGCACAAAGGAAGAATGGTGACCAAGCTCACACCGCTTGGCTTCATCCTCTAGGAGGAACACAGCAGTGCATGACTTCGAGGTCCTCTCCTCTCAAGTGATTTGGAAATTACCACATGGACGCCAGGGCAGGATTACAGTTTCCAGTCCCACTTCTGGGTCCAGTCCCCACATGACCCAGCATTCCTACATACAACCAGGAAAGCAATATTTGTCATTCCAAATATCAAGGCAGTAAATGCTACTTGGCCCAATCCAAGTTATATCCAGGATGAAACAGGGCTGTTTTCTTAGTAGACATGCTCTGTATACCATATCCGAATACCCTTGATTCTGGAATTAGCCTTTATTCACTCTCCATATTATCAAAAAATAGACATATACATACACATGTGATTCTTCCTATCTAGATGTCTTGCTCAATAGTCTCTGTGGATCTAAATATAGATCTAAATCCTTCTTACTCTTCCAGGCTTCTTCTGGGGACCTTCCCCAGCCCTGAGAGACCTCAGATCTTTGGGAGTCTGCTTTGCTCTGCGGCTCAGTGGGCCAGGAAGTGTGTCTTACACCTGCTGGAGCCACTTTGCCTTTCCCCTGAGGCACTCTGCCCAGGGTTGGGTTTAGAGTGCTCACTCAAAAAACAAACGGACGGGGCCGGCCCTGTGGCTTGGTGGTTAAGTGCGCGCGCTGCTATGCTGGCGGCCCGGGTTCGGATCCCGGGTGCGCATCGAGGCACCACTTCTCCGTTCATCCTGAGGCCGAGTCCCACATACAGCAACTAGAAGGATGTGCAGCTACGACACACAACTATCCACTGGGGCTTTGGGGGGAAAAAATAAAATAAATAAAATCTTTAAAAAAAAAAAACGGACAACCAAACATAAACCAACCTTATTAAAGAAAATAGCAGAACTTCTTCCTAGAAGGGCAGCTCTGGTTTGTATGCTGAAAAAAGAGAGGAACCCCCCGCCCCTCCCTCATCGGCGACTAGAAAGACACACTTGGGTTTCTACAAAAGTCTCCTAACTCCCTGCCTCCCTCTCTCCCCCTGCATTCCAGTCTCAACACACTATCAAAAATGCAAATCTGACTATGCACTTTAGTACTTAATACCTTCCTAAGCCCACACTGGGAACTCGGTGGAAATCCTTGGCATGGAGTACAAGCCCTTTAAGGTTTGGCCCTTTAGCTTCTCCAAACTCCTCTCCCCAAATTCTACCCTCTCTTCAGTCATTTGGAAGAGCTCTTACCCACGTTAAGCCTTTGCATACTGACCCCTTCACTCATAACACTTTCTCCCCCACCCCTCCCCTCCCTGTTTTCGCTAAAGCCAACTCCCACCCATCCTTTCTTTCTGGGATTAGCTGTCCCTAGAAGTCCTCCTTAAGCCCCTATACAGAAGTGATCTTCCTATATGCTTCCATTGCAACCAGGATTTACCCTCCACTAACAGGATCACTTCATATGGTAACTGCCGGCTCACTGGTTGGTTATCCTTGCTGGAATGAATGTATGTTTAGGAGGAAAGGGACCATTCTATTTTATTTGCCTCTGTACCTAGCAAATGCCTGGCAGAGTAGGTTGTTGCTGAATTTTATTAAATAAATAAATGATTGAATGAATAAATGAATGCTTTTTCTTTTTGGAGTCTAATGCATTTCTGAACCTCACTAAATATTCGAACCTCTAGGCAAAGCAACCAGGCTTGAGTAAAAAGGGAGTTATCCTCTCTTCTTATTCAACCTTGGCAGTGTGAGGAGAAGCCAGGATGAGCGACACATTCCCCAAATCCAGATTGTGGGCACTGAGTGGACCATGCAGGCCGAGGAACAATGCCCACAATGACTACCCATGGACAATACCAGCAACTATGCCCAGAGACTGTACAAGGGACCGCCTTGCACAGGGACAGAGCAGGGCTGGGGCAAGAGGACACTTCCTCAGCTTCGGGGCCCCAGACCAGGGAGGAGCCCAGGGAAAGGGAACGCTTTTTCCAGGGTCAGTTTGATAACCCTACTCTCCCTTCTCTGACCAGGAGGCTGTGGATGGCCGTGCAAGTGATGCCAAAGTGGAGATCAGAGGAGCAGGAGCAGAGAAGGGGGGCAACTTATCCCTCCAAGTCCATTCATTCAACCAATATTTACTGAGTGCCCACTCTATGCCTGGCACAGTGATAGGCCTGGGGGTACAATGCGAATAAACACCAGCTGTTTTTCCCCCCTTCATGCAGTACTGTCTAGAGGTGTGACTGGCATTACTCAATCACACAAATAAATTTAATGTGCATCTTTAAACCACTACAAAATAATAGGTTCAGGTTACCAGTGTATAAAATAAGGTGATCTGGCCTAGTCAGGGGAGGTCTGAAAGGCTTCCTTAAGGAAGTAACCAATGAACTAAGAGCTGAAGGGTGAATAGGAGTGCATTAGACAGGGACCGGGTTGGAGTTTAGGGGTGTTGGAGGAACAATAATGCATTCCAGGTGGAGGAAACTGCGTGAACAGCCTTCCCATCTCCACCAAGTTCAAGAACCACTTCAACCAAGTTCTGTTCTGCAGGTTCCATCTGCTGCTTCTCAACCTAATATCTATATTTTATTTAAAGAAAAAGGAGGCTATGGAGTGGACTGTGTGTGGGGGCTGCAGATAGGAATTGTAGACTGCAAGGAGGGACTGGGCCATCAGCCCACACCTAGTCACTCGCAGCTCGGACCATCAACCATCCTCACGTGCAGAACCGCAAGGCATGAAGGGGCAGGTTCCTCTCACACTTGGATCCAGCGAGGCCGGCAAAAGGGAGGGGCGGAAGGCCAGGCGCCCATACAGAGTGAACTGATCCCCTATTTCAGGAAGAGCATGGCGCAGCAGCTATATTTGAAAATCAAGGTAAACAAGAGCTCAGCGCAAGTGGATGGGGCACAACAGCTGTGGAAGATTAATCACATGCGGCTGCAAGTCACCAGGTCGCCAGAGGCCCCGAGGCTTCCCTTTCGCTGCCCCAGCAGCAGGCCGGATGTGTTCCTGTCACGTATCCACAACTCCCTCGGCCTGGGGTGCTGCTTGACGGCCAGGAGCTCTGAGCCTTACTCCCAGCTGCGGCCTTCCTTTCTGATAAACTGCCCCCAATTTCAATCCTTCTGCCCAGGAAACTGAACCACCAAACGTTCAGGGTTCGTGTTTTAATCGCCAGAAGAGAGAGAGAGGCGGGCAGCGAGCGGGTAAATTTATGGCACTGCATTAAAGGCGTTTGTTCTATTTAACCCACTCCCCCCCCCACCCCCCGGTTAAAAATAAAACACAATGAATAAAGACGAAAAACCGCTTTTTTCGCCCGGAGCGTATCGCTTTCTTCATCTCCCCCAGGGGCTCGGGTCCTGGGGGCAGGGCAGGAAGGGTCTGCGGGAGCTGGCCTGTGAATGACGGCCTGTGAACGTGTGTGTGCGTGCGTGTCTGTGTGGTGTCGGTGGGGGGGGGTGTGGGCGGAGGGCGGGGGCACTTACATACTTCTCTTCTCTCCACCTGGCCCTGGACCGCCCAGACCACCGCAGTCTGGAAAGCACAGGACAGGAGAAACCCTCTCTCCGCCCCCTTGGCCGCCGCGGGTGGGTGCGCTGGGGCTGCAGTTCCCGACCCGCGTCGGTGGAGTCCTGAGGTTGGGGTGCGCGCGTGCGTGTGTGCACGGGGGCGCGCGCCGAGTGGGTAACGCGCTCCCCTCCTGGCCCCAAACCCGCCCGGCACTCACAGCCTCAGGAGCACAACACGCCTTGGCACAGCGAACACACACATGCAGACATGCATCCAGCACGCAACGCAGCATTCAGTCTCCCCAGTGCGCACCCACCACTAACCCGGCAAACCCACGACCCGACTGCACACACGTGCCCAGGCATCTCTTTCTGCGCGCCCCCCCAACCCCCCCAGACACTCTGCCAGAATGCCCCCCCCAGCACCGCATACAAAATGTACACTCTCTGTGGCACCCTCCCCCCATCTCTAGGCACTAAACGCCCACAGGAAGGCAGTTCATACGAATGATCTAGAGAAATAACTTAATTAGCATCGTTATTCACAACCAGGAACCCTCTTGGGGACATCCCAAGCCCCCCAACCTCCGCCTCCCCTGCCTCGGCCGCTCGCTGAGGGGGAAGGGCAGGAGGCTCACCCCAATACTCACCGTTTCCTCTCGGTCTGCCGAGCAGAGTGGGCAAGTGAGGGGGGTGAGGAAGGTGCGCGATGCCCCCGCCGCCCGGCTCCTCACCGGCCGCAGCGGCTCATCGCCCCCGCGGGCTGCCCGCCGGCCGCAGCCGCGTCCGGGGCATGTCAGTCGGCCGCCGCCACCCGCCTGCCGGGGCGCGTGGGTTCGCAGCTTTCAGGGAGCTGAGGGGCAGCGCATCCGGAGCGCGAGGGCTGGGGCCAGGGCAGGGGGCCTGGGGAGGGGTCCCTCGGCGCCGAGTTAAGGAGCAGGGAAAACCCCCCGGAAGACCCCAGGAAAACCCGGACCCGGGGCACGGGCTCGGGACTAAGCAAGGGAGAGCGGGGGGGATCCCTGCCGGGAGGGGCAGGAAGGCGAGCAGCCTGGCGCGCCCTGGCGGCTCCGAGGGACCCCGGGTTGCAGTCGCGTCGCCGGGGCTTTCCCGGGGCTGGGAGCGCGCCGGCTCTCCGCCTCGCACACCGTCACCGCGGGAGATGTCTCGGCCTCGCCGCGCGCGGAGGGGACGCGCGGAGGGGCTGGTTTCTGGGCGAGCCCAGAGCTTTGCCCATTAAGCTGCAGCAAGAAGCCAAATCAAAAAGCCAATCTCTAAGCCTCCAAACCGAACGTCACCCTATCAGCTGGGAGAGAGAGCGCTCCACGGAATGACAAGCCGCGCATATTTATCCTCGCGCGCCGAGGGGGGAATTTTCAGATAGCTTCCCGACCAGCAGCGGGAAGTCGAGCCTGTACCTCGCGTCCAGAGAGCCCCCGAGGACCGAATGCAGACGGAACCCCTAGCCCGCGGCCACCCACCCAATCGTTGGAGGCTGGCGCCCGGCGCCTCCCGGCCAGCGGCAGTTCCAAGACGGCGGCGCGTCCTGACCTGGATTCCGCACAGTCCGGAGCTCCGGCGGCGGGCGGGGAGGGCGGGCAGGCGGGCGCGCAGCACCGGCTTTCCCCTTGTCCTCAGGAGACGCCGCCTGCAATTCCGAAATGAAGTCTCCACCAAACACATCTGTGGTTTTTAAATATAGCAGGGGACGATTACCCAGGCAGGGTCCACCCAGGCCTAGGGGAGGAGTTGAGGGGGATGGAGATTGGTAGTGGAGGGAAAATAAAACTCCTTTTTTCCCCTCTTTTTTCCTTCTGTTCTTGGTGCAGAACTCAGTCTGTCATTTTCTCAACCCAAATCAAACAACAGCTTGTGAGAGACGCTTGGGGGAGCGCTGGTATGTTGGCTTTTGGGTTTTTAAGGCTAAAAATAAGAGGGGGTTGTCTCCCAAATTGCTGCTTTCTCTGGGCCTGGAGCCGGGAAGAGAGATGGTCCTTTGATGCAGCAGCAGAACCAGGGTTTGGGGCTTGGCTCAGGCGAAGTGTATACATGTAGCCTTAAATCAGATGCCTGTAATTTCTGCTATATTTGTCAGGCTTGGTTCTGGAGGCATGAGGGGTGGGCAGCCCCCTCCTAAGAAGGGGGTTTCACGTCCTTAGTTTATCGATGGCGGCAGGCAGATCTAAAAGGAGCATAGTGGCTGGCCTTTTGTAGAGACACCACTACGGATTCTGGGACAGAATACAAGGTGGGAAGTTGTTCCTCTCAGCCCTCTGCTGCCTGAAGCCAAGTGTGAGGGGCCAACAAATGAGAATAATGCTTAGCAAGTATCAGCACCTCCTTAGGGCCAGACGCCCTGCTAATGAATTTGAATGTATTACTTCATGCCATCCTCATAAAACTCTATGAGATAGGTATAATTACTAACTCCATTTTTCTGTTGAGGAAATTGAGCCTTAGAGAGGTTCAATAACCATTCCAAGGCCACAAGCAGCAGAACCAAGGACTGGAATAAGGTGGAACCAATTGGAGTTTTGCTGATAACCACAACAGTACGTGCAACTCCCTGGATCCCTGGCTCCCCTGGGGATGCTCGGGAACGAGATTTGGTCCAAAGACATTAAGTGGTCATAGGAATTAGAGAGCACCTGAGCCTGGGATGGCCTCAGTTCTTTCCTGGTCGCTTGACTCAATGCTCCTTTGGCAAATCACGTGGTGGTTTCGTCCTGGATGTGCTCCTGAGTCCTGTGATCCCAGATCCCTGAACCGTTATGAGCCTTCAATTCAGTTCAAGTTAGGGCTGAGACACTGAGTCTGCAAGGTTCCAGTGACTTCTAAAGTTGTGGGATTTCAGGATATGTCAACTGGTGAGATTTACCTTGTGTTTGTTTCCATGGAGATCCACGATGCTGATTAGTCTATAGTGAAGACTAAGAGACGGCTGGTGGGTGCCTAAATTGGTGTACCTTTTTGGGAGGGCAATTTTGGAAGATATATCAAATTCTTTAAAAAATGTGAACCCTCTTTTGACCCAGTAATTTTACTGGTAGAAATTTATTCTATGGCAATAATTAAGGATGTGCTCAAATATTTAGTTACAAGGATGTTCATGGTAGTGTTTATAATAGTGAAGAATTGGAAACATCTTAATTTTCCAACAGAGAGAATTGGTTGAGATGATCATGTTACATTTACATACTGGTGTATTCAACCACTATAAAAGTGCTAATGCAGCATTCTGTATATTGACATGGATAGGTTTTCATGATATGTTATCGAGAAAGAGAGAAAAAAACAGAACATAGAGTGTGATACTGTGTGTTTCTGTGTGTGTGTGTGTACATGCACATGCACACGTGTGTACCCTGGCAGCAGAAAAACACCAAAATGGCAATGATGGTTATCTGGGTGGTGGAATTACTGGTGATTTATTTTTCTCTTTAAATCAACTTCACTGAGGCATAATTTACATGCAATAAAATTCACCTGTTTTAAGTGTACAGGTTGATGAGTTTTGATAAAAGTATGTATAACAACCACCACGATCAAGATACAGAACATTTTCATCTCCCTCAAAAGTTCTCTCAGGCGCCTTTGCAATTATCCCCCCTCCCCTCAAGCAACCACTGATCTGCTTTCTGTCCCTATAGGTAAGTATTGCTTGTTCTAGAATTTTCTTCTTTTTGCCTATTTATATCTGTTGATATTTTTTCAGTGAACATTACCCATTCACTAAAACCACAACAACAGCCACAATAAAAACAGAATTTTGTTAGAGGATCTACCAAAAAAACGACAGGAACCTCATCTTCCTCTTGTCACCTCTAGCAGGACATTGCTGGGTAGGAAGGTGGGAGGTGAGGGAGGTATCAAAGCGTGTTCAACCATGGCTACAGGCAGAGTGACGTGTGTGGGTTCTCTGGGTTCTAGGTGGACTGAAGTAACACAACCCAGCTCTGCATTCTGAGCCTCTTTGTCCTCACCAGCAAAATGGAAGTAACAATAATCACAATAATAATATCCACCTCATGAGGTGTTGTGAGGATTCAATGAGATTACAGTTTCTGGTACAGAGTAATTCCCAAATACGTGTTAATTCTCTTTCTCCCTCCTATCCTTGCTTCTCTCCCACTGTATTTCTACAACCAACATTCTCCTTTTAACACTAGAAAGAATCTCAATTTTTTTTGCTCTCTACTACATGCACACAGGGTTGGAAAACAGTAAATTTGATGACAATCTGCCTTCAGTTTCTGCTATTGTTTATCTCTTTATTTCTAGTTGTGCTAGAACTCAAGGGGATTTTCACAGGAAAGATAGCAAGCGAACTATTTATCATCAGCATTAGGAGAAGGAACCACAAACTTCATTTTCAAGTTGGGAGGAAACTGAGGCTCAGAATGTGACTGCAAAGAGGTAATTCAGTTAAAATGGGGCTGTTAGGGTGGGCCCTAATTGAATGACTGGTGTCCCTATAAGAAGAGGACACAACAGATAGACAGAGGGAAAACCATGCAAAGACACAGCAAGAAGACAGCCATCTGCAAGCCCCGGAGAGAGGCTTCAGAAGAAACCAAACCTGCTGACGCCTTGATCTTGGACTTCTAGCTTCCAGACTGTAAGAAAATATATTTCCGTTGTTTAAACTACCCAGTCTGTGGTATTTTGTTATGGCAGCCCTAGCAAACTAATACAGAATCCAAGTATCCTGGCTGATTCTATGAGTGCTTGTTTATATTCCAACTTCAAGGAGTTACCTGGGGTTATTTGGAACCTGGAAATGTCCTGGACTTTACAATTAACAAAAAGGAAGCAAAGAAACCAGCTTTTATTGAATGTCTGCTATGACACTGTGCTGTGCACTTTTACACGTGTTATTTCACTCGATAAACATTTGCGGAACACCCTCTATGTGCCAGATACCATAGTGCTGGGGATACAGCTGTGAACAATGAAGATGAAATCCGTGCCCTCATGAAGTGTACGTTCTAAAGGAAGAAACAGATGATAAAAATAAACAAAATACACAGAGCCTGTCACATGAAAAGTGCTATGGAGAAAAATAAAGCAGGGGAGAAGGATAGGGGATAGGGACTGCTAAGGGAGGGAGGGGAAATTGTTAGACTTTTTAATTGAAGAGAGTCTAGGAGTTTGTCCTGGAAGCTTGAGTAAGTTGAGTAAGAACCCGAAGAAGGTGAAGGAGAGAGCCCCATGCTGATGCCTGAGGGAAGAAGGTTCCAGAACAGCAAGCGTCAAGGCCCTGAAGTAGGAGTGTATTAGACCTATTCAGGAAAAATTATTTTATTTAAACCACCTCCTCCTTGAGAGGCATATACTGTCCCTTTATCTAGAGAATAAGAAATCTCAGATGAGTGAAGTGATTCCTATTGAGGTCACACAGACAGGAGGAGGTAATGCCCTTCTTTCTCCGGAGGCTCACAGCACAATGGGGTGGCTGGGATGAACAGTGAGAAAGGGCCATGTGGCTTCTCAGTTACGCCCCATTATTTGCCATTATGCCCTAGGACTCACACGTCGGTGCCTCTCCAAACCAAGGGCCTCAGGTACTTCCCAAGGAGCAGCCCTGCCTGCCTTTGCTGCCATTAGCTCTGTGTTCCACACGATCTACAGTGCCACTTGTCACAGATGCCCCTGTACCCAGGTGACAGCATTCCATGGCCCAGGACTGTACAATCTGATAGCACTAAGGAGAGGCAGGAGCAGACAATCAAGCTGAAGCTTAAAGTAAGTTCTGGAGCAGCTCTGTAGGGGAGGTAAATGTTTAATAAGCAATGTTTTATAATAGGGTAGTTTAGTGAGACACAATTCTTCCCTATGGGTTATATAATTTTTAACCCTCTGATAACTTGTATTTCCAAAATTTATCACTTAATTATTTTTCTGTTAATAAAATCGCCTGTTGAAGTAGAACACACATACAGACAAGTGCACAAGTCATGAAAATAAGCTCAAAGAATTTTCACAAAGTGAAGACATTTCATGTAATCATCAACTGGAACAATAAATATCAGCAGTGTCCCAGGTACTCCTCTGGGCCCCACCCAGTCATACTCCTCCTCCTCTGCAAAGGTTACCGCTCTCCTGATTTCTAAAACTATGCCTGAGTTTTATGTGACTTTGAACTTTATATAAATGGAAGCATAAAATGTACTGTTGTGTCTGCTCAACATTATGTTTGTAAGGTTTATCCATATTGCATGTAGCAGCAGTTTTGTTATTTTTCGTTGCTGTAGTGTTTCCAGTGAATGAATATACCACCATTTAACTTTTCCTTCTGCTCTTGATTGACATCCAAGTTGCTTCCAGTTTTTTATTATTTTGAATAATGCTGCTAGGATCATTTGCATACATGTTTTTGTTCATATGTGTATTCACTTCTCTTGGGTATATACCTAGGAATGGACTCGCTGGCTCCTGGGGTATGCGAATATGCAGCTTTAATTGATAATGACAGTTTTCCATTGTTGGCACCAATTTATACTTTCCCCTTCCCAGTACTGTTGTGTCACATTCTTGTCAACACTTACTATTGTCGATCTATTTAATTTTAGCCATTCTGGTGAGTGTGTATTTAACTTTAATTTGTGGTTTTCATTTGCATTTTCCTAGTGACTATTAAACTGGGAACTTTTTCATCCATCTATTGGCTTTGGGATATTCTCTTTTGCTAAGTGTCTGTTCAAGTCTGTTGCTTATTTTTCTGTGGGGTTGTCTGTCTTTTTCTTATTGAGACAGTGGGAGTCCTTTACATATGGGAGTTCTTTACCTATTCTGGATATGAGTCCTTTGTCATAACATGCATTGCAAATATCTTCTCCTGGTCTGTGGCTTGCCTTTTCATTCTCTTAATTGTGTCTTTTGATGAATAAAAGTTCTTTATTTTAATGTAGTACATTTACCTTTTTTTTCTTTATCCTAAGTGGTTTGTGATTCCTGTTCCTTTGTCTATCCAAGTCATCAAGGATATTTTTCTTTGTTATTGTCTAGAATTCTTACTTTTTTATCTTTCAAATTTAGATCTACAATTCTCCTGAAATTGCATTTTTGTATTTAATGTGAAGTAGGGGTATAATTTCATTTTTTTACATATAGATATGCAAATGACCCAGTACAATTTATTGAAAAGAGATCATTTCACCTGCCATGTCACCTTTGATATAAACCAAGTGTGTGTGTATCTATGGGTCTGTTTATGGACTGTCTGTTTTATTGGCTTATTTTTCATTATTTTATTCACATCATGCTGTCTTAATTACTATAGTTTATAAGAAATCTTGAAATTTAGTGGAATGAGTGTTTTTGCTTTGCTCTTCTTCATGAGTATCTTGGTTATTCTTGGCCCTTTGCAATTACGCATAAATTTTAGAATTAGCTCATC